GGGGATGAATGGAGGGATGAAGTCCCTGAAGGAAGGCACTGAATCTCTGGGCATGACAAATTAGTAATAATAATGTGTTGTCAGGGCCGCACATGCTAGAGACACTTAACGGATAATCGATAGGCATTAGAGCTGCTGTTTTGTACGGGAAATGTTACAAAAAGAATATGCAAGTTAATTGAAGTTGGCAGACATCACAGATTTGTGCCCTGTTATTTCTTGAAAACTGGAAACTGGTACTGGCTTGCGCAACAGGATGACCCTCTTCGTGGTCTGCGAGGTGCGTGAAGAAGGGAGGAGTGAGTCTCTTCAGCTCCTGGCAGGTGTCAGAAAAAAAATAGTCTCCGAATGCTGCAGGAAGGCTGTGCAGCAGGAAGAAGTCAGTGAATCTTCACCTCCTCATCTGTATCCCAGCTGTAACAATTCAGGGGGAATTTCACATTGATTTTGAAAGCATGGCCTGAGTGCGTTTGTCTGGGATCAGAGATGGGCAAGAGTAGCTCCTGATCCTCTGTGCAGCTTGCTTGTCTAGATGCTTGCACCTGTGTACAGGCAGGGTTTAGCTGTCACCAAGGGTCCTGAATCACTTGGGAGAGGTTTAGATGCAGATTGCACAGGTGCGCAGGAGGATGCTAAGACGTAGGGCAGTGGATGCACGGTAAAGCCTGGAGAGCATCTCGAGTTCCAAGTGAGCTGTCAAAGGGGGCTCTGCCTCTGCAGTCTGTTATTGGCATTCCTCTGATGGCAACAGGTTGCCTCTGGCCATCGTGTAGCACTGCCAGGGTTTAAAGAGCCCATAGCCAGCCTCTTCATTGGCACCTCTTGTTGTCACACTGGGAAACATATGATGCATCATTTTCTGTCGGCTTCCCTTTCTTCTCTGGGAGCAGCGAGGCAAAGAATTCACTTCGCTTGTTTTAGGAAATGTCATTTTGCTCTGTCGATAAATTAGCTTGGTTGCTGTTTCTCTCGGAGCCAGGCCGATGACTTCACTCATAGTACTCAAGTGTCTTCTGGACCTGAATTTTTTATTATTATTTGTCTGAACATCTTGCATTATCTTTTATTCATTTTACCCCTTTGTTTTCTTCCCTGGTTGTTTGCTATTGCTAACTTCAGCCTTGCCAGTCTTCCCAGTAACTGATGCTTAGTGACCCTGGGCCTCCTGTTGAGTGCTCTTCACACCTTATCCATCTATGCTGGCTTTCCCTGATGCAAAGTGGGAACCCACACAGTTGTTCCACAGAGTCACTTATCCTTGAACCCGGTTAAATCGAGTTAGATTGCCTCAGTCCGACTCCACTGCTTGCATACATGACAAAAACCACATGATGCATCCAGCCCTGCCCAGGGTAGCCTGCACAATTCCTCATTTCCTTTGGTTTGGGTGGTTCTTAATTGCTTGGACTCCTTAATGTTTTCCCTTGAAAAATGTGATGGGTTTATGTATCATGGGATAGTCTCAGACCGTGGACTGTTAGAATAGCCCTAGTCACCACAGTGGCTTCTGGGACAGTATGAAGTCTCCGAGTCAGGACATTGCTCAGAAAGAAAGGCAACTTCCTACAAACTTTCTATTTTAACCACTCACACAGCTGTGACCAGCGGCTTAGAAGCAATGCAAGTAGAAAGGCAGCCTTGACCTGGGGAAGGTGAGAGAGAGGAGACAAAGAGGAGAGCAAGACTGGAATGAGCAGGCTGGGGAGGCGGTAGAGAGGACGCAGTGGAACTAGTTCTCAAATGGTTTGTGACATTGCAAAGCGCATCTGCATCTTCTCAAGAGCTCAAGGCATGAGTAAGGATTTCAGCTGAGACGGAGGCCAGGTGTGTGCGTGCAGGGAGCGGTGGGTGGAAAAATTAGTTCTTATTTAAGTGTCTTCCTGCCACCAAGGAGGATTGATCCTCCGCTATTGTAGGTTGAGAAAACAAAGTTGGGATCCGAGTTACAGAAAGCATCAGTCGATACAGGCCGCAGATCACGGAGAGAACTTGCTACCCTGCAGGAGTCGTTCAATAAGAGGAAGTTTCGGTTTAGGCAGGAGCTGACAGCGCTGAGAGAGCCGGCTAGAGGGATGTGAAAGCGAGCTATCCCCAGAGCGGGCACTCCTGAGCGTCACAAGAGCGATTGAACTATGGAGGCCTGTCTCTCAGGTACAAGTGATGTTATCATCTTCCAGTGACGACGCGTTGTGCTGATGGAGAATTTCTGTTTTAAAAGCTTTTCCTCTGACTGGCTTAAGCAAACTCATCCATAGTGACTGTACAGACTCAATAGTAATGCACAGATCAGGAGTTTGCTTGTGTGAGACGGTCCCACGTGTAAGGTCAGGATCTGACTGGTCCTCCCAGCAGCATGCGGTGAAGAAGGGAGGGCCAGGGATGATCCATCCTTGCTCTCTGAGTGCAGGAAGAGATGCTCAAGCTATTTAAACTGGACAGTGGGGCTAGTGTTTGTGTCCCTAGCAGGCCACAGGCAGACAAGGTTCTTTGGGTAGATGTGATCTCTTCTATTACAACAACTAAATAGTTGGAAAAATTGTCCTTTGCAAGCTTTCAGGCACAAACACCCTTCTTTAGGCCTAGGGGAGTCTGCTGGTGTTTTGTGTGCTCTCCTGGATGGAATGGATGCCATCTGCATATATCTGAGCTAGTTGCATATTAGCTCCTTAGGAGTTAGCTAGAATAATCTCTTCCCAGTTGTATTTGATAACTTCCTTGTTCATTTTGCAGGTCCTTTTTGCATTCCAGTGGCTTCCATTGCGTATTGGCTCCCATTCCACCCAGGAGAGCACACAGACCACCAACAGACTCTCCCTTTGCCTGAAGAAGGTTGCTAGTCGTGGAGTTCAGGGAATGCCTCCCTCCCCTCATGCCCGTTCAGCCTTCCTG